CATTAAAGTTCATTTGGAACTGCAGGATTGTGCAGATATGAATAATGTTTGTTATGACAACACGTGAATTTGTGGATCTAGTACATGTAACCCTAAGCAACAAAACCAGCCATTACCCATGATGCTGCAAATGTCTCATTTGCATGTTGGATGAAGCATCACAAGGAGCAAACTGTTCCCGCAGTCACAGGCAGCTGGCAGAAAATTGAAAGAGATATATCAAAACATTCAAAAGCATTGTGAAGAAAGATCTGGACCACTTCTTGTTGTAATTGAGTTCAACCAATATAAGAGTACTACTACTTAGTTAAGTCCTTCGAGACTAGCTATACATAATATCTTGCACGTTTATCTCAAAGGGATATTAATAAAGAAAATCATTAAATCTTGTAGAAACTTTGTTTATGACGTACATGATGGTCTAAATTCTTCTTTATCAGTCTGTTTTGTAAGATATGGAAGGAGGGATGGTCTAGCAGAGAGAGAAAGAAAATACTAATCTCAATAAGAAAACAAATCCGTTCCAAATGGGTTCGTCATGGTCAGGTGGTTAAGATGCTCGACTCGCAAGGTGCGGGTTCGAATCTCGGTCTCACCAAAAATGTTCGCCTTTTCAGCCGTAGGGTTGTTTTAAATTGTTTTAAACCTACGGTCAATCCCACTATTCGTTGGTAAAAGAGTAGCTCAAAAGTCTTTCACTGCTAAATTAGAGACGGCTCGTGTAGTTTTGTGGGAAATTCAAAAGCAAACAAACCAATCCAAATTAAGATATATATATATACTGGCATCAGTTACCGATAGAGTCTTGTATGCCCTGGAACTAATCTAGCCAATGGTTACTTAAGAGGTGTGGAAGCTTGAAAATGTAGGTATTTCTCAAGGTCAGTGTCGCCCACCCTACACCACTAAGCAGCGACGAGAGGTGGTTTATCGCAAAAATTATTGAGCCCATTTTATTACCGATAAAAAATAAAGGTGTTTAGTACTTACAATAAATCTACCCAATGATTACCAAAGTGGGATTGTGTTTTTAAAGTCACCGCAACTTATAGACGTGAGATCACACTTATTGAAATTAGTGGAAAAAATAAGTTTAATCGCGTAAATCGACTTTTAAAGCAGATTATTATTATGTACCAAGCTTAACTGGTGGATAAGCAGTACATTTATCGATTAATAACACCAAAAATCTGGGTTCAATTCCTCGCGGTGGACAGAAAGCACCTAGCGCATTATGTAATTTCGCGCTATCAAATAGTTCCTATAACAAAAATTAATAATGTACTGATCCATAACAGTGAACAGTGCTTAGGATCTATTTCCAGGCAAACAATTCAGAGCATTGAATCTGTGAAAGTATTAGGTCGTCAAGAAATTAATGTAGTTTTTTTTAGTTGAAAAAACTCGAACAACTTTTATATCAAAACAAAACATTTATTAAATGAAATAGTCTTCATTCTTATCGATTATGCTTTTCCATCTTACAATCAGCTTGTTAATGCCCTGATTAAAGAAATCACATGGCTTTTAAGCAAAAAACATGTCGATGTCCTCTTTAACACCTTCCACATTTGCATACGCTATCCCAATTAAGATGGTGTTGCAGTAAACGAAAAGATTGTAATTTGATGGTGCTATATATGGAGAATATGGGGGGGGGGGGAGAACTTACCCAACCCAACTCCATAATCTTATGTTGCGTTAAACGTGCCACATGTGGACATGCATTGTCGTGGAGAAGAAAAACACCTTTCCTATTGACGAGTGAAGGG